TCAGAGAGATTCAGGCTTTTTCATGTCACATGACACCACATTAATGTAGCAATGAATGATAGTGCAATCTGCTTTATTTATTTTCCCTACGTTGTGAAAAAAATTAAACTTTAATTAACTTAAAAAAAGTTAAACCATTAAAAAAAAAATACTGAAGACATGACCTCAGTGTCCTCAATGGTACCTACGGCCTTGATGTGCCCTCTCTCATCTGGAGGATGTAAGAATTATGTTTTTTGATTTTTCAAGCCCATTTAATACCATCCAACCCAACATACTCAAAAACAAGCTCAAAGAGATGGGAGTGGATCCTTCCTTTGTCTCCTGGGTCACAGATTACCTGACAGAAAGACCACAGTTTGTCAGGTTGGGGAACTGTTTTTCTGGGACATTGATGAGTAGCACGGGGGCTCCACAGGGGACTGTCCTGGCTCCATTCCTGTTCACATTGTATCCAGCAGACTTTAAATACAACTCTGAGTCCTGCCACATCCAGAAATACTCAGATGACACTGCTACTGTGGCATGTATTAGGAATGGACAGGAATCTGAATATAGGGATTTGATAAAAGCCTTCAGTGACTGGAGTCACAAAAACTGCCTCATGCTGAACACCTCAAAGACAAAGGAAATGATCATGGATTTTTGTACGTCCAAGCCCCCTCTTCAGCCAGTGAACACTTGTGGAGTGGACATCAAGACAACCTATAAATATCTAGGTGTTCACCTGGATAACAAGTTGGACTGGTCCCTTAACACAGATGCACTCTACAAAAAGGGGCAGAGCCGCTCAGATCTCTAAACATCTGTAGTAAGATGCTGCAGATGTTCTATCAGTCTGTGGTGGCAAGTAAAGCCCTGCGTGGGACTGTTTCCTTCATCCCGCTCCTGCTGAATTTCTGACCATTTCTGCCCGCACCCGCAATGCGTGTATTACACTCCTGCCCGGACCCACAAAACTCTGAGAATTTATGCCTGCACAATAATAGAGATGCATTGATTTTGTGTCTTCTCCTGTCCCGCAGAAGAAAACACGTCATTTTATAGACTATTATGGGGTTGTTTGTTTCGTTTCCCTGGCCTGCATGTCTTTTGCCACACTGGTCAGGTATAACGGTCCTATTTCGTTCCGTTTTCATTCAGTTTTTTTTTCACTTCAACTTTTTGACCCCATCATCCTGTCGCTTCCGCAGGGAAAGAAGCTGGATAAGCTGGTCAAGAAGGCTGGCTCTGTGATCAGAGTAAAGATGGACTCTCTGGGGGAAGTGGTGGAGAGATACACAATAAGGATGATGGAGGCAGGGGTGCAGATCCAATGTCAAGGTTGGGGGAGGGACACAAAAGTGATTTTTTTTTTTTTGCCAATATGCAACTCATACCATGCCACCATAAATCACAACTTAATAGAGGCTTAATAGAGGATAATCTATTGTGCCTACCTTTTTTGTTTATTTGTCCTAAACAGCCAACAGGGCATATCACTGCTTCTTTAACTGATATATTAGTAAATCATAATTTTAAGGGTCTCAGGCATGTAATGTCTACTCACATTCTTATCTTTTGCCTCCCTCCACCCTCCCAGATCCCCAATTCTTCTCACCGTCTTCCTTTTCTCCCAGTGTATGGGACTACTTTATGTATGAATAACTGATATGGATGAATATCAAAATATGAAGCCCTGCCTAAACAAGTTGTGTAAACTAACTGATCATGTTTTTAAAATGCCAGTTGTAACACTGTTCTAAGAGCACAATAAACACAGCACAAGTTGACCCAACAAAATCAGATTTATTTTCATAAATAAATACTATTTCTATTTCTTGTTTGTTTTCATCTGTCATTTCCAGGACTCCAGGAAGAAGAGATCTTGTATCTGTATAACCCTTCTCATCTGTATAACTTTTCTTATCTGTATCTGGACAACTCTTGGATAAAATAAAGGATAAAAAATTTTACAACTTGACAGTTAATTCATATCCATTCATTTATATGGTCATGTTTTATAGTAAAAAAAAAAAAAAGTCCTTATTACAATATGTACCTATCTTGGGTTTTTTTTAATCATATTTCTGACCAGTAGACTCAACAAAATCAAGAAAATCATTCAGTTCAATTCAATTCAATTCAATTCAATTCAATTCAAATAGTTTATTTCAAACCAATCAGACAAAACAAATACCAACAACAACAAACAGCAACCACTACCTGGAAAATAGCACTGGCTAGCTAGCTAGTGTTGCTAAACTTGCTTCTAGCAAAGTTACTTCACTACAGGTGGCAAACAGATTCTGATTACATTTTTAAATCATTTATGGGCACACTACTGTTCTAGTATTATTATTCTACTTTCGATCAAAATTACTCACAGAAAGGCATCTGCTTCTGCAGCAAATTACCAGAGCCCCAGGCTGCAGCCACTTTCCAGAGCTGAGAGAAAGATTGAGGGGGTCGTGTTTTTTTTAAAGCCTGCTGATGTCATCAGCGTCTGTGTTAGAAACTACCCATTCATTTGCATTGTAGTGGAGGAGACCAGAGATGGAATGTGGAGTCAGAAATATATTTGTCAAACATTATTTGTTCCACCATTTCAATCATTTCTATTAATCTTAATGTGAAGAATGTGAAGTCTGAAAATACAGTTGTTCAATTTTGAATAATTTGGGGTATTTTCATTGGTGGGGACATTTCATGTTTTTCAGAAACATTTTTCATTTTCGGCACTGAAAAGAATGTATGTGGCTTTGATAAGATCAGTGTTTGATTATGGTAGTATTGCCTGTGAATCAGCTGCCAGATATCATCTTAAGAAGTTGGAGGTGGTTCAGGCACAGGCACTGAGAGTGTGCAGTTGGGCTTTAAAACAACACCAGTAGCTGTTCTTCAGGTAGAGATGGGAGAGATGCCACTGGAGCTGAGAAGGAAGCAGCTGATGGTGTGTTACTGGGCAAATATGCAGGGACACATTCATTCTCATCCGACAAAAGAAGTTCTGCAGGTGTGCTGGGAGAATGGGAAGAGTCTGAGGGAAAATTTGGGGCGGGTAGGAAATGATGTGGCAAATGAACTGGGAGTCTTAGGAGTGAGTGAATAACAAGAATCGTGAATAGAGGAGGTTGGGTTAAATTTATGTGGGTACCAGCGCATGTAGGGTGAGGGGGAAGGAGAGGGCAGATAAGTTAGCGAAGAAGGCATTAAGGAAAGGAAGAATAGAAATGGAAGTGAGTATTTGTAAGGCTGAATCAGGGTAGTAGTGAAGTTCTTAAGGGATGCAGGGCTTTTTATAGGGTATAAGTTAGGTTAGAAGTGGTGTAGCTATATGCCTAAATGTGTGTGTGGGTGAGTGTGTGTTGTGGTGTGGGCTTGTTGTCTGGTCCACACTCCAGAGCAGTAGGGGGCGGTATTGCACCTATTGCTGGATGCCAACCGCCGTAAAACAAAAAGAAGAAGAAGAAGACGAAGAAGAAGAACGCAACAGAATGTACGCCTAGTGGAGACTTTTACTTTGAAGCTGACACAGGAAGTGGTGGGACGTCACACTGCCACTGGATCGATACGGAGTCATCGTCTTGTCCGAGTTGGTTCGAATTGGAACCGAGTTTGAGCAGAGAGACAGCATGAACACCCGCCGGTAGGAACGTTAACAACTATCAGCGATCGCCGAGACAGCAACCATGTTCTCCGGCGTCAACGTCATCCTGCTTCTATGGAGCCTCCAAAACCTTGTTGGTGAGTCCGTGTGCTGGCTGGCCCGTGTTTCACATCACTGCGTGTGGGGTAATGTTTCTTACCAGGGCAAAATCTACTCTACCCCATAGCCCCTACACCACAGAGGTGCTAGAGTGTCGGGTGTACCGTGTGTTGTCCTCGTTGCGTCAGGCTCATTTATCATAATTAAATAGCCGCTCTGCTACATGCTAATATAGCTCGATACCTCTACTACACAACCCCTCTTGGTCTGAATGAGGAAGTAAACACACCGTTGCTGTCAGTGGGGCCTAGATGAGGGCTCGACCGACCAACACAACGAAACAAAACACCAACTCATACAGAAACCGAAAGCCCTCCCCTGGCTGCTCCTCATGCTCCCGAATGGCCACTCTGGGCCCGAGGGGGTTCTCCAGGTACGAGGTGTCTATCAGTCTGTGTCTGTGCGTGTCAGCGCTACACACACACACGTCACGTGGGATCAGTGAAGTGAAACACACAACTTGGTCTTAGCCAACGTGAAGTAGTTATTCTAAGTGCGACATAACCTTCTCAGAGGCCAAAACTTTACGTACTTTTTAACCGGAGAACACATGAACATGACGACTGTGATCTCTTAATGTGATGAGCGATCCTAAAGTGCTGCTCCATCCCTCTCACTAACAGGTGCATTCAAGACTGTCCTGTAAATATTGTAAAATTAATATAGAAAGTCTACAGCTTTATGTTTATGTGACAGACGCATTGCCCGATTTTTAAATGACTACATTATGAATCCAGAACAGATTTTTCAGAATTTATTATGGTTCACAAAAACTGGATCAGATGGTTTGGATCATGTCAGGGTTTTGGGTTCCATGTGTGTGGTTTTATTTTGTGTTTTATAATGATTTGAGTGTGAGGACCCTGTTGTTTTTCAAAGAATTCTTTTTCTCTTGGGAAAAATGAATGGCTTTTTTTCCTGCCTGAACATGCTTGAAAACTCACAACTGAACTTTGCAAATGTGTTTGGCCTGGTGAAAATGCTTTTATTTTAGGGTTCTCTCACATGGGCTGAAAAATGCTACAAATGTGTTATAAAATATATGATCTGTTGACTGGTGTGTCTCTGCAAGAGCCATTTCCTGTCTCTGTCTATCTGCCAGTTTGCCGGGCAACATGATGTTATAGTGATGAAATACAATGTGAACTGTTCAGCACTTCAGATTAGGGTGAGATAAACCCAGAGTGCAGCATGGTATATGATTCATAAGCTCTGCAGGAATCTCTCTGAAGCAATAATATACAGTACACGGGTGGCTGTGGCTCAGGAGGTAGAGCGGGTCGTTCACAAACCAAAAGGTCAGTGGTTCGATCCCCGGCTCCTCCGTCCTTGGACACTGAACCCATGCTTGCCCTCTGATGTGTCATCCGATGTGTGTGAATGATTAGCCCCAAAAAGCCTGTCTGCGAACAGTGCTGTATAAATGTGTGTGTGAAAGGGTGAATGTGACAAAAACAGTGTAAAGTGCTTTGAGTGGTCCAAGTGACTAGAAAAGCACTATATAAGCGCAAGTCCATTTACAAGTTCACCAAAATCAGAAATCATCAAATTAGTCCATGCCTGAACTAGGCATGTAATTGTAATTACAGCTCTGAAACATGTTGTTTTGAGATGTCTGAAAGAAAAGAACTTTTACATTGAACACAGCCTTTCATTTTTGAATCACCTATAGAGTATTGGGATCATTAGTAAATGTGTATCAAGTTAAAAGAAATACTAAACTAAATAATTATAAAATATAAAATCAAAATAATACAGTCCTTTAAGGGAGGCTTTTTTGGAAACAGGTCCCATGGGGTAAATCACAAAACACCACCCCAAAGTTTCCTGTCGACATGCAAAAAACAGATCTTTTGTGAAATGGCCTCACCTCTCCAACCTGTAGCCAAGATGTAGCTAGATGTAGCTAGATGTAATGTAACAACAACAAAGGCTGACTACTTTTGGGGTCCCTCAGATACTGCGCCTAAAACATATCTGTTACATTGATTGGCATATTTGGACCAACACGACTTCCAGTCAACATTTAGTCCATAATGTTTGGCGCTTGAATTCAGCGTGCAAGCTTTCCATGTCTTCCTCTCTGTTGTGGGTGTGTTTGTCTGGCAGCATTACAGTACCACATGTGATCATCTACGCTGCAGCTGCACGCAACCTGAGGAATTTCTGACCTGCACTTTGTCTCTTTGAGGAGACATAAAAAAAACAGCTCATACTGCACAAACGATATGACAGAAAATTTTGCAGTGCATTTTGGAGGGCACCCCAACCCCCCAGAATTCAAGTTGTAAAAAAAAAAAATATCCATTCATTTAGCCTAATGTTTATTTTAATCTTAAAGACCTATAACATATGTCTAATGTGTTGCTATCATTTCATTACATTCATTACAGTGCATTTCTCCTCTCGCAACACACACACATGCACTCAGTGAGGGCCTCTCTCCCAGTTCAGCCCCATCCACAAGCAGATCTGTATCGACCAACAGCGCTGCTTTCCTCAGATGCACTGATTTTTAAATATGAGCGCTCACCACCTTGGATCAATTACCGAGCCATGGTCACCACATGAACTGACTGAGTGCGGTGCAGGGGGGGAATTGCAGATAGACGGCAAAAAGGCTTGGTGAAACACTGTTTGGTAGCTTTGATTGATTTTTTCATACTGTGGTATACCATGAGCATGGCCCATGCCTAGTATGTTATTATTTAATATGGTGAATCATGGTTCATCCAGCTGCACTTTTAATTTACAGGCAGATAATACTTTCTGCCAGCATCTGGAATTAGTGAGGGCCACGAGCCATTTGACCCCCAGTTTAGCCAAGAATGCCCCCGAAATTCATATTCCAGGGGCCAAAATTGGCCCCAACTTATTGAAACAAATACGTTACAGTTTTTCCGCTATGTGGGATGCCCCACTGCTACTGCATCTGCCCCAGACGCACAGTCATAATCTACTGGTTATCATTACTTTGTACCCTCATAATGTAACATGTCTCAACCCCGCTTGGCAGCGCTCAGGTTATCAGTAAACAACATCCAAGGTTATTATGGCCCATAAGTTTAACACCACCTCCTTTTTTGTTTATAAGCTCCTCTCCTTCAGCCTCATGTTCTCACTACACGCTGTTCTATTGTCACACATATGGTGCTGTAACTGAACTACACAGCTGTTAAATGAGTGGCTGTTTGCCTGTCACTCGTAGCGTGCAGGCATATGATAGGCTGTTTCAATGAGCCAGGAGTGTGTTTGTTAGGTGTCTTCATTTCATGTTGTGAATTTAGTGCATAGGCTACGCGTCAGATTATCCAGTGTTTTATCGAGTTGTTTTTTTTTAGTTTCTAGTGAGTGAGTGTCTGTTTCACTGAATTAATTTACTGTTGCATCTGCAACTCATTTGTGAAATGTAGCCTTTATTTCTCTGAAGTTTGCGTTGCAAAGTTCCTTACTCTTATTCATATAATGACATACAGTAAGCACAAGAGTTTACCTGTACTATTCTGGGATTGACTTTATGTATTTAAATTAGGGCTGTCAATCGATTAAAAAAATTAACTAATTAATCACTCAAATTTCTGTAATTAATCGCGATTAATCTATCAATACATTAATTGCATTTTTCTACTTAAGACTGAAGCTTATAATATATTTATTTTTGTAAAATCATCAAATTAATGTAGAATAAACACAGAGAAGGTATATTTAAATTCAAAAAACATTTTAATGGTTTGCACATATGCACAGTGCAAATACAAAAAAGAAGATACTGTTCAAAGTATCAGTTTAGCCAAATAAACTTTTCCTGTAGAAAACATGCGTAAGCACATTATGTTTCAGATCATTTGCAAACTGCCATAACTAAAATTTTCACTCAGCAAGTCTGTACACATGCGTGTCCAGAGGTGATAGACTTCATTTCCATAGCAGGTATACCACCTGATAAAGTAACAAAGCAAAAAAAAGTGCTTAGAAGGTTCTCCATACAAAGAGCCAATTCAGTTAAACAGGAACTTCAGTGTGGCGTTAATAAAGCCCCTTAATATTGCATAAAAATCAGTCTTATTGAAAATGCATTTTCCAAAAACATCCGGTCCTTTTCTCAGACTCCCTCTTAAACAAAATGCTTCCTCAGTTCAAAGTATCAGTTCAGAACATTGAACACTGAACATTTTTCACTCCATAGACATCATTTACTTAGTCCTTCTTTCCACTCAGCCAGTTACTGAGGCAGACCAGTTTGTTTATGTTATCAGGGGACAAAGAAGCTCGCTTCTTTTGAATGATGTGGCCTGAGAGTGAGAACAACCTCTCACAAGGCACTGTGGTTGCAGGTGTTGACAGGTACTTGCGTGCAATAGGTGCCAGCCTGGCATGTGCTCCCTCTCTCTTTGACCACCATTGTAGTGGACACCCCTCTATGTCCATTTTTGGCTCTGCTTTGTAGCGATCCAGACAATGCTCTATAGACTCCTCCTCGTCATCTGTATCTGAATCTGAAGAACCCAGCAAGATGGACGTCCTCCTCTTCTTTGGTGACGGCTCCTCTGTTGTCTCAGCAAGTGGTTGTTGTGCACATGTCTCTCTCATCATCAGGTCATGCATTGAAGCCCACACCTCACTCCTTTCATCTTTTGGAAGGCACTTAAGGTCTTTAAACCTAGGGTCAAAGGCAGTAGCCATCTTCAGCCATTTGAGGTTGGTGCTATCCTTCCGTTGAGCTAGGTCTGTGGTAAAGGCCGTCTTGAACCTCAGAACATAAACTGGATCATCGTCTGAGGGCCCCATAACTCTGAACAAGTGGCGTAAGGCTGGCAAGACCACTGAACAGGAGGCATACTGCTCTCCCCCTAGCAGTTCAGTCACATATCTGCAATGGAAAGTACAAGGTGTTAAACATTTCAGTAAATCAGTGTGCACACACACACACACATACACACAGGTGAAAGAGAGGGGAGAGAAAAAACATCATACACACACAGAAGATGGAGGGGGGGGGGGGGGGGACAGCACACACACAGGTGAAAGAGAGAGGGAGAAAGAGAAAACAACTTACACACATGAGATGGAGAGAGAGAGAGAGAGAGAGAGAGAGAGAGCACACACGTGACAGAGAGAGAAAACGGTACATACAGGTGAAAGGGAGAAAGAAAGAGAGGGAGGATAAACAAGACATAAATATCTTACCTGCAAGGTTCAAGTAGTTCCTCCAGCTTTTGTAGTTTGGCAAGCTCCTGGTCAGTCAACATGGCAACCTTGCTCTTTTGCTGCGCCAGGGTAGTGATCAGTGGAGATTTGTTTCTCTGGATCCTCTTTACCATCTCCAGCGTAGAATTCCATCTTGTTGCAAAGTCCTGAGCAAGTGATTCTTGCTTAAGTCCGTGTGCAACTTGTTGTTGGCTTAATTCCTGAGCGTTAGATGGACTATGCTTAAAGTGCCCGACAATCTTGCGACATTTGGCCAGAACACTTTCAAATCCGCTGTCTTTAAGTGAGACTGTGACCGTTCTTTGCAGACAGTGGGCCATGCAAGGCAGATGTTCAAATCGAAGTAGCCTCACAGCAGCAACCATGTTACGAGCGCTGTCAGTGCCGAGTGTGGTCAGCTTTTCCTTGATTTCCCATTCGTTTGCAACATCCAGAAAATGGTTAGCACATGCCTCGGCATAATGTCGCTCCTCAGTTTTACTCACAGTAAGTGCAAATGACTGCAGAGTCCAGTTTTGATCAATAAAATGCGCTGTGACACCCAAATAATTATCGTTATTGACGGAAGTCCAGTGATCACCTGTGAGAGCGATGTGCTTTGCTTGCTCAAGCATGTTCGTCCGCTGTTCCCTCTCATCCAAATACAATGTGTGTATTCTTGACAGGATGGTTCCTCTCGAGGGTAAATTATAAGAGGTATCTCCCGATGCAACACGAATTACTTCTCTCAGTCCATCATCCTCTACTATGCTAACTGGGCGGCAGTTTTTAACTATCCAAATAACCAAGGAATTGGTTAACTTTTCACTTACGGGTTTTGTTATTCGCCCACGAGTGCCACACTCCTGTAGTGTAGACTGGCGGGGTCCCCTGGAGGTAATTTCAGCAGGGTGTTTTGCTTTGAGGTGATACGTTAAAGACGAGTTACTTCTGTGGTAACTAAATTCGGCTTTGCAAACTGTGCAAATTGCCTTGGTTTTGTCCAACGAGCCGTCGGGCAACTTTTTAAAAGAAAACTTTCCCTGTAAAGGTCCCTCCGTAGCCATCTTTCCGCCATTTGCCAGGTTTGCCCGCGCATGTGACCAAAGGTTATGGGTCAGCCGTCACCGGAAGTA